CCTAAACCCTAAACCCTTAAGGCAAAGGACCCGGAAAAGGGAAGAGCACAGCCTAGCCGATGGACAAAGGCAAGGGCAAAGGCAAGAACACCAAGGGCAGCGACGGCAAAAAGGTGAACGAGGCCACGGGTGACAAGATCCAGGCCAAGCTCACCGACATTGCCGTGACCAACTTCCGAGAGCACCCCTACATGAACCTCACCGGTTTCAAGGCCAGGCTGGCTGAGGGCAACATCATGGGCGGCTTTCACCAGAGGTCTTGCCGAGACGTGTTCCTCAGGGTCATCCATGCCAGTGAAGACCCTCGTGTCGCTTTCATCGGCGAGGACATCAGCATCCATGAGGACGCCCCCTGCGCCGAGCGCTTGGCGGATGCGGACCGCGATCTTCGGAGTCGCGGCGCGAAGCTCCTCTATGTCTGCAGTGACTGGTTCGAGTCGGGCCAGCACAACCACCTATTGGGAATTCGGGTGGGTGAGGCGAAGAACCCCGGGCCGAGCCAGGCTCCTACGTGACTCGTCGGAAGCGAAAATTGAGGGCCATGGGCAATGCTACTTCCGTGGCGGCTGGTCCTCCTGGCCTCTCGGCTATGTTTGGGTCGGGCTTTCAGCAGCAGGCCATGCAGATGATGCAAACTATGATGGAGGCAATGATGAGTAAAATGATGGCGGCTTTCTTCGGTGGTGACCAATGGATGTCTGGGGCGACAGCGTTGGGCTCCTCGAAGGGGAAAGGCTCGCATGGGCAGAAGGGGTCGGGTGGCGGCTCGCTGAGCACACCCAATGGATCCGCTCCTGCTCCCGTGGCGCCGGCCAAGGGCGCAAAGGGTCATGAGTTCGCCAAAGGCAAGTCCAAGGGCACGGACAGCAAGGGCGGCACAAGTGGATTGGACATTGACTTCGCCAAGGGCAAGGACGGCTCGAAGGGCGAGGGCTCCAGCAAAGGTTCGGCTGGCAAGGCGGCCAAGGGAGGGAGCGACAAGCCACAGCAATCGGGTGGCAAGGCAGGGAAAGGCAAAGGGCCCAATGTCGATGGGCCGGCTTCTGCGGGAGCATTTGGCTCCAAGGGCAAGGGCAAGGGCAAGAAGGAGGACAGGCCGGGCGATGATTACCGAGCAGCCGGTGGATGGGAAACAATCGAGTGGCATGCCAAACCTTCGGCCTTTGGGGCCAACCGGCTCGTCACCACCATCTCGGCCCTCGAGGATGCCCTGTCTGGCGAGGAGAAGTTCGTTGCTCAGTTCCAGGACCCCGTGTTTCAGGAGGCGGCGGATATGATGGAGGGCGGCTGCCCCAAAGGATGCATCTTGATTAAGGACGGCGAGGCCTGTGCGGCTTTGGATGCAGTGCAGAAACAGTGGCCGGTGTGCAAGAAGCATGTGCCGGGCTTGATCAACGGGTCTACGCGGCTTCGGTGCGTTTGGGTGTGCACCTTCGACGCGGACTCGGCGACTTTGGCTCCGGCGGTTGGCTTCGTCAAGGCGGCGGCTCCGAGGACGAGGCGTCACACTGATACTGTTGTGGTTCGGTGTGTTGCATGGCAGAGCTTTGCGGAGGAGAAGGAGTTCAAGCAGCTCTTGAAGCGGCCGGGCCAGGTTGCACGGGCATGGTTTGCGAAGGTCGCCCCGCTCCACATCCAGGAGGTCATCGACTCTTGGGGGTGGCAGGCCTATGGAAATGACCAAATCCGAGGGCTGATGCGCCTAACGAAAGATGCTGCACAGGTGGCGCTGCGCAGCTCTGGCTGCTGGGCTTTGGGCGCCTCCCTCTTCTTTACGCCCCTCGACTGGGCGGCCGTTGATGCTTCCGAGGCTCCTTCGTTGCTTTGGGTCGACCGCCACGACAACGAGGCCACTGGTGTCTACCTGGCGCGTGTGCGCAAAGAAGCTGACGTGCACGGGCTGCAGTGCGGAGGGGACAGGCTTGCGGTTCGCCTGGACCCGCTCGATTCGAGGATCTTGCCCCAGCGGGGCACCTGGCACTTGAGGGGCTCCAGCTCTGCATGGATTCCCGAGGACATTGAGGCGCTGCTGGCTTCGGTCGGCTTCACCGAGGTGACGATTGAGGCTAAGTTGCTGCGTCGTGGCCTTCCTGTTTGGGAGTTTCGTGCTGTGCGAGCAGACTTTCGGGACTTTGTGCCGATCGAGCTTGAGGCGGGCGACGGGCTGGAGGATGATGCCGAGCCGAACAGGGTTCTTGAGGCTGCTAGGGTGGCCAGGCGTCGCAGACAAGGGGAGGCCCGCAGCTTGCCGGCAGAGAAGGTCGCCCGGTTCGGTGCCATCAACATTGACGAGTTGGTTCGGCACGTCGCAGCTCCCAAACGGAAGTCCAGGTTCAACAAGCCGCGGGCCAACGAAAGCTCGCAGGAGGCCGCCGAGACCCCCGAGGACATGGTCATCGACAATGACGAGGGCAACGAGGGCACCGAGGTGGGCAACAAGCGGCGGCGACCTGACCAAGGATGGTGGCGAGAAGGAGGCGGTTGTTGCAACGGCGGCCGGGCCGACCAAAGGGGTGACTTTGCCTCAAGGGGCCCAGGCGCACAAGAATCCGGGTGGTGGTGATTGCCTTTTCTACTGCCTTGCTGAGGTTCTTTCCGGGGTGCAAAAGAAGAGCCGGGGCCACCGACAGGTCAGGGCCGGAGTCGTCGCGTGGATGGAGAAACACGTGGAGTTGCTGGAGCAGCACTGGGACCACCTGGGCCCGGACGGCGCGTACATGGATGGCACGTTCCTTGAGTACCTTAAGGCGGTGCGGCGCTCCGGGGCATGGGCTGGCTGGCTTGAGCTCTACGCGGCGGGCGTTGCCGAGGACCTCAACATCATGATCCTGACGCCGGGGGGTGTGGTGAAGTTCCCGGCCCGCAACGAGATCGGCCACTTTGCTGTCTTTAAGTAAGAGCTAGGCCACTACGAGGCGATCACCATGGACCAGAAGACCATCGCTGCTATGTGGCTGGCGGCTTCGGAGGCAAAGCCGTGTGGGGGGCGTGGTGGCGCCCGGTCTCAGGCGTCTGGCTTGCACTTGTCGCAGTTCGACGGGGCTTCCGAGACCAGCGGTGGCACGGACAAGGTCGTGGACACCAACGGCCGGGGCCTTGCTCTTTCCGACTTCGCTTCCTCGGGGCGGCGATCTGTGACTGGGGCTGGCTCTAGGGCTGCTGTGCATGGTGGTCGGACCCCGCTTACCATCGATGACTGTGAGCCGCCTCTTTCTGGGCCGGCACCGCGACGCTTCTCTAAATACCGCGAGCAGCAGGGCTTCCGGTGGCAATGTGAGCTTTGTCCTTTTGCCACGGTGAAGAGCTCATGTGCGGCTATGTGCAAGGCGCGCTACATGCATTGCACCTGGAGTCACCAGGGTCAGGGTTTTCCGGGTGCTCGTGCTATGCGTTTGGATGTGTTTCAGCAGCTGTCTGAGGGAGCGGAGTTCGACTGGAACTGCCCGCTCTGCAACTGGGGGATCCCCCTTGGTCAGCGTGGGCGGGTGTCGGCGGCGGCCTTCGGCACTGGCAGGGAACGGCATCGTGCAAAGCATCATCGGCACTTGGATCGCAAGGCTTACATGAAGCGCTGCAAGGCCCAAGGACTTCGACGGCCCGAGTTTCTTATGCGGGCGAGGGTGCGCATGCTCAACGCGGGCATGGCAAAGAGGGCGCGGGACATGGGGGATGAGCTGGAGCAGAACTGGCGGGCTTTCCAATGGCCCTACGTCCTGTTCCAAAGGACGACCAAACGCTACAAGCTTTGTGTCAAGACCGCTTGGAGGTGCAAGGCATGCGGGCTGTGCACCAGAGTGAAGAGAGATCGGGCCCAGCATGGCGGGCGTTGTGGGATGGGTTGTGGGAACCTTGCGTACCACCGTGCAAAGCTCGAGAAGGACAGGGCCAAGGCCCGAACTTTCCACCGCGGCATGGACGATGCTCTCCTGGCTCAGGTCTTTGACAGTGCGCATTTGGCGCTCGGCGGCGCTCAGCTGCCATGACGGTGCACAGTGGGAAATCGGTGGGTTGCGTCACCCTGAACGTGGAGAAGAATGCTTGTGCGAAGCTCCCGCAAATCCACGATTTCTTCATGAATTCGGCTTGCCAAATTATGTGCCTACAAGAGGCTGACATCAATGAGGCGAGCGGGGCTACTTGGTCTGCGGCTTGGCAGGCTAAGGGATGCCACACGTTTTTGGGCACAGTGGGCGACCAGTCGATGTACACCACAACGATTGTGTCTACCATTCCGGGGCGCCTCGTCAGACTCGACGTTACCGACCCCAGCAGAGTGACTGCGACGGTTTTCGAATTCTTCACCGAAGGTGAGTACGAGAAGATTGTCATCGTCAGTTTGTATAATTACTTTGCAGACAAGGAGGCGGCTGGTGCTTTTCTGGAGGAGGTGGTGACGGCTCTCGAGACCATCGGCTTGAAGTGGATCGTCCTCGGCGACTTCAACCTCACGCAGGACGATGGACCCATGGCGCGACGCCTCGCGTCGGGCCTTTGCAGGTCCCTTGACGAGCCGTTCTTAACAGAAGGGCCCTTACCTGGTACGGCGGGAGGAGCCCGGCGCCTCGACTTCGGCGTCAGCTCCAGGAGCGTCACGGCGGCAAGTGTTTGGCATGCCCCTGGGATTGCTGATCATACTGCTGTGGCTTACTCTTTTTGCTTTGCGGACCCGGGCGGCTTCTCTTCACCGATGAGGACCTCTTTGTCGACTGCGGTGGTGGACCCGGCTGCTTGGTTGAGTGCGTGGGACCAGGAGCGTTTTCGTGAACTTCTTTTGGCCACCGACTTTGACGGGGCTTGGCGGCTCATCTCTGACACGGCCGAGCGGGTCTTAAGTCCGGGAGATGGTGGGCGCGGTTTCCCGCGCGCTGGTCAGTGGGCCCCTAGAGGGCGAGCTCAGAGGAGCAAGGCTGCTTCGGCCTTTGAGCCTCTTCCGATGGTCCGGCTCAGGCGCTTTGGCCGCCGATTGGGGCAGCTGGTTCGACAGCCTGGCGATCGGCGGCTTCGTGACATCATGGAGCGCGACCTCGAGTACCTCGACGGGCACTTTGGATGGCTTGCGGAGCTCCCGCTGCTCGGCATCGAGCGGCATGCGCAGTGGGTGAACGACAAGATCGAGGCTGAGGCCAAGTCCATCCGCGAGGCGGGCTTCGAGCGGTGGCGCGGGGCTATGCACAATTCGCTGCCTAAGCAGGCGGCCTGGATCAAGCGGCGAGCGGCTCTCAAGGCAGGACCAGTGTGCACACCCGTGGCTCCGGCTTCGCTTCCCGCACTGCGATCCACCCGTGTGCCGTCATCGAGGAGGCCGAGCAGCAATGGGTGGACCGGTGGACAATGGGCAACGTGGACACGACTCCGGTGGCTAGTCTTCTTCAGCGCCTTCCCCCTGTGGACTCTGTCTCCACCCTGGTGCAGTTTACCGCTAGCAAGCTTCGCCAGGCTTGCACGCGGATGCGACACAAGTCGCCTGGACCTGACGACTGGTCGGCGGAGCACTACTTGGCTCTCCCGGACCCGTTTTGGGAGGCGTTGGCTCAGTTGTGGCAGTGCTGCTACCAGAGTGCTGCTGTTCCTCGACGTTGGCGTGAAGCCAAGGTGACCAAGGTGTGCATGATCCCGAAGGCTAGCGGAGGGCACCGTCCCATCGCTGTTTTGGCGCTGGGCTACCGCCTGGGCGCCTCTGTCCTCGCTCGCGAGCTTCGCTCCTGGACGGAGCAGTGGACTGGGCACAGGCTGATGGGGGGCTTCCACAAGCGGTCCTGCCGCGACGTGTTTTTGCGGATCCTCCACGCGACCGAGGATCGCGGCATGGCCTTTGTCGGCGAGGACATCAGTAAGTTCTTCGACTCACTGGTGTCTCCACACGTACGACTTGTGCTGCAGCACCTGAAGGCGCCTTCAAGGTTCGTGGACTTCGCGTGCAGCGTCATGGCCGAGCAGTGGAGAGTTTTCACCAGTGGAGGCTTCCTCGGCGAGAAGTGGCACCGCACTGACAAGGGTGCCGCTCAAGGGGACCCTTTGTCGCCGCTGATCGCTGGAGCGGTCATGTGGGTGTGGACGACAAGCGTCGCTTGCTCTGGCACCGAGGCTGTTGCATTCGTCGACGACCGCAGCTTTTGGAGTCCGTGCGCGGAGGCTCTCTCAGAAGCTAAGCGACGAAGCGCTGCTGTGGATGCTGCCTTTGGCTTCACCTGCGATGCGCGCAAGTGCCAGCTCTCCGTGGGGCCGGCCTGCAACGGGTCCGCACTTGCTGGTGCTTTCGGCTACGAGCTCAAGGACCACTTGGAGCTGTTGGGCGTCCGGATACCCGTTCCGCGAGGCGACCCTCCCAGGCTGGCGCGCTTCACCTTCGACTTGGCGCAGGCAAGGGTGGTCTGTTCGAATGCCGTGGCAAAGGGCATGTGGCAGCGTGGCTTCCACTACAAGACTCTGGTGCTCCCCATGATGGTTTGGGCTGGGGCCATCGCCTCGATCCCCTGCGATGAGGTGACCAGACTCGCCAATGCCATCTTGTCGGTGACGAACTACAGGCATGCGTGCGACACCCCGGCCATCGTGGTCTGGGAAGTCCTGGGATGGGAGTGCTGCCCCAGCTTTGCTCGTCGTTGGGCGGCCTTGAGGGACGCCGTGGCTTTGACTTGTAAGCCACCGGTCTGGTTGGAGGAGGCGGAGCTCACCTTTGCGGCGAAGCGGTGGCCAACTTTGTTACCTGTGGCTTCAGAGGTCTTGGGAGAGCTGGGCTGGTGGACTGACCGCTTGGGCACGGTCATCCAGCGACGCGACTCGTTGGGTCACCTCCGCTCCTTCGAGCTCGGCGTGGACTCTACGGACGTGTTGGCTGAGTGGCTTCGCGACTGGCACAGGGCTCGGGCTTTGGCTTCCACCAACCGCGTCGCCGCGTCGCTCCACAGAGGGGACCCCAGCTTGGCCAGAGGCGCGCTTCTTCCTGGAGTTCCTTGCGGCAGCCTGGTTTTGCTTCGTGGACACAAGGAGGCGTACGCGAGTGCTGGCAACCGCACTCAGCGCAACTCGGCACTGGCCACTGGTTGCTCGGTTTGGGCTAAAGCGGCCAAGCAAGGCATTGCCGTGTCGCTTATGCCTCACTGCGAGTGTGGACTCGAGCGGCCCAGCAGACCGCATTTGTTGTGGCAGTGTTCGGGGACAGCTGCGCTTCGCCCTCAATGTGCGGCTCCGTGAACAGGTGCGAGGAGCGACTTCTTGCGAGGACCGTGCCGGAGCTTCCTGCACCTCCTCCCGTGGTGGGGCGTGACTACGTCGTCGAGGCCTTGGCGTATGAGCTGGACGCTCTCTTCGCCGACAACGTCACCGTTCACGTCGGCACCGACGGCAGCTCCGTCTCTGAGGTGGGGGCCTGGGCAGTCGCTGTTCAGGACGGTGAGGTTTACGCCTGTGGAGTGTCCTCCGAGGACCAGACTCCGTACCGTGCTGAAGTTGAAGGTCTCCGGGCAGTGCTTGAGGCGTTACTGTTGTGCAGACGCTGCGGCTCCGTCGTCGTGGTCTGTGACTGCCAGGCAGCTTTGTGGGCTCTTGATGGCCACGGTCGTGCAGGTGTTTTGGTGCAGCGAGTGCTTGAAGGCCTTCGTGCTTGCAGTTTGCGGGGGTTTTCAGTTTCCTTCTTTTGGGTGCCGAGCCATGGCAAACCGGCTCCGGCGCGTTGGCAGCCGCCTCCAGGTGGTGAGGTTCCCGCCAGGGTTCTCAACTGCCGTGCTGACGCTGCTGCCAGGAGGTGTGCTACAAGTCGTGCCAATGGCTGCGCGCGTGCGCGCTGCCTCGCTCTGCGGACCGAGGCTCTGGAGTGGGAAAGGGCAGCGATCACCGGCCTTTCGGCCATCGCTGCATACTACGACTCATTGTGAGTTTTTCGCACTGTGGCTCCAACGGCTCGTTTCTCGAGGCACCGTGTTGTCACACTTTGAAATTCTTGAAATTCGGCGAGGACATCAGCAAGTACTTTGACTCGCTGCTGGCCCCGCGCGTGCGCTTGGTGTTGCGACACTTACAGGCTCCACCCCCCTTTGTGGACTTCGTGTGCAGCGTCATGGCAGAGCAGTGGCGGGTCTTCACTTCCGGTGGGCTCTATGGCGAGGCCTGGCACTTAAGACCACCAAGGGCGCTGCTCAGGGAGATCCGCTCTCCCCTTTAGTTGCCGGGGCGGTCATGTACGTGTGGACGACCTGGGTCGCACGTGACAACACTGAAGCCGTCTCCTTTGTGGACGACCGCAGCTTCTGGAGCTCGAGTTCGGCGGCGCTTCTGGCGGCCAAAGGACGCAGTGCGGAGGTTGACGAGGCCTTTGGTTTCAGCTGTGACGCGCACAAGTGCCAGCTTGCTGCCGGGCCCTCTGGTGATGGGGCTGCTCTGGCCGCGTCCTTTGACTACGACCTCAAGGACCACCTGGAGTTGCTGGGTGTTCGGGTTCCTGTCCCTCGCGGTGCTCCTCCCTCTTTGGCTCGGTTCGTCTTCGACGTGGCGCGGCCCGGGTGGTTTGCTCGAACGCCGTTGCGCAGGGCATGTGGCAGCGAGGATTCCACTACCGCACCCTCGTGATGCCGATGATGTGCTGGGCTGGAGCCATCGCCTCGATCCCCAGTGACGAGGTGACCCGGCTTTGCAACTCCATCCTCTCGGTCACCAATTACCGCCATGCTTGTGACACGCCGGCCGTGGCTTTGCGAGAAAGTGGGCAGCCCTAAGAGACGCTGTAGGGTTTGTCTGCAAGCCGCCTTGCTGGTTGGACGTGGCCCCGCTTCCGCTGCTTTCGCGCCGTTCGCCCACCTTGCTCGGCGTTCCTCGCAGGTCTTTGGTTCTTCTACAGGGCCATAAGAAGGTTTACCGCAGCACGGAGGAGCGCAACCTGCGGAACTCCGCCCTCCCTGGCTACTGGCTGCTCGGTCGGGCAAAGGCAGCTCGTAGTGGGGTGCCAGCACGGGACATGCCTGCGTGTGCGTGCGGCTTGCGACTCCCAAGTCGCCCTCATCTGGCATGGCATTGTGCAGGAACTCGTCACCTCCGTTCCCCTGGGGCAGCCCAGGTGAACGGTGCGGAGGAAAGAGTCTTTGTGAAGGTCGTGCCCGAAATGCCCCCAACTCCTTGCGTGGTTGGTGCCGATGAGCTCACCGACAACCTCTCTGCGGCAATCGACAGCGCCCTGGCCACTGGTCTTGTCGCGGCGTGGGCCATCGCCATCCACGGCGGTGGCGTCTTCTCGTTGCGCGTTGCAGGGGGGAGGACCAGAGTCCTTACCGGGCGGAGGTCGAGGCGCTGCGCGTGCTCCTGGTTGCCCTGCGTCAGTGCAGGCGCCGTGGCAGGGTTATCATATCGTGTGCGACTGTCAGTCTGCGATGCACGGCCGTTCTGGCTACCTTTGTCGTCGAGTGCGACTGGGTTCCCAGCACGGTAACGGTACTGCCCGTGGCGGGTGCCTTGGAGGTGAGGTCGTGGCCAGCTCCGTCAACGACAGGGCGGATGTGGAGGCCAGACGGTGTGCTGCTGCACGCTGTCGTGGCTCTGCTCGTGAACGGTGCGGC